AGGAAAAAAAAACTGAGATAAAGTTTTGTTTTTTAAATTAAGGTTGTTACATCCATGTATGTTCCTATATATGCTTTTAAAGTCCTTGTGACATTGAGTTACAAGCCTTTGACTCCCGGATCTAAAAAGGACACGAAGTCCTGCTAAATCTTAAACACTGACAGCAATTAGAGCCTCATCTTTAGGCCCCATGGAAGATGTCAATAAAAATAAACTGCATTTCCGAGACACAGGGCAAAACATTAAAGCGATTTCAACTTCTCAAGACCCAGGGACTGTTGTGGAAGCGGTTGGCGGGTAAGATTTTAAGGGCCAATTTCGAAAGATGAAATACGTGCAGTTTCTCTATAAATCAATCATTAATGCCAAAGGCACACTGATGCAAGACCAGCATATGGGCACCTGTGTCAGATTAACAAGGTTTTGTTGAAGCACTAACCAACTCCTTAATAAAGGTTAGAAAGGGCTTATGGAAGCTATATTTTATCATCGAGATTAAAATTTTGTAGATTGTTTATAACATTTTGAAAAAGAAATTTAATTGGCTTCATGCTGTTCTTATTAGGTCTTATTGTTTGGAAAATTAAGTCTCCTCTGTCAAAGAATAAAGTTTGTCACTTCTTTTTGAAATCCTTTAATTATCACTTTGGTTAAATAAATGACTTTACAATTACTTGTAATCTTATTTTGTAATGTCAAGTGTTTTAAACCTTTTATATTTGACAAACTTTTCAAATTCAAATTATAAACTATGTCTTTTTTTTAACCTAACTAATCCTTTAAGATATTAGTTCCCCTAAAGTACAAAAATGACATAATTTGGCTTATTTGGTATAAAAATTGTATAGGAAGCATTGTCAAATATGAAATGGTGTTTGTTTTTTTTCAGGCTGTATTTATAAATATGTTATTTGTATGTGTTCCAAAATTATAAGAAACTCCTGTAATTCTGATATAATTTAGTGTACATTATTTGTAATAATCATAATTGTCATGTTAAAATTATTGTGTGCCACAGAGGTAACATATTTCCTTGTTATTCGTGTCTTTTAACCATGGCTGCCTTTAAACATTTTTTTCATCCATGGACAATTATGTCTTGTTTTGGTCCTCTTTAGAAGGTGGTTTTATAATCAGCTATAAAATTCCAACAGTTGCTCTTGAATGCAGGTTTCTGATAACTTTGGAGATAACTTTGGAGATTGTGTCATCAGAATAGAGGAAAAACTTTCAGGACTCATGGAGAGCTAAAATGCTCATGAGTATCAAGGTGAACAGGAGTTAACTGCATGGACTGAAACAATCTTTTTGACTTTTTACTTAATACGTTTGCTGATCCTTTGTTTTGTTTTTCAGAGTCTTAAAACTTTTCTTTTGAGCTATTGACAGCTTTTAACAATTTAGCATATACTTATGAACAAAATTTGGAGCATATTTGTTTTTCTACCTGATTTCTCCAGAATTGGAAACTATTCATGAATATTCCTAACTTATGGCACTACAGTTATTTGCACAAGTGCGATGAGAATCTGTTTTCATTTGTAGCAGGACACAATTGGAGAAACTGGTTACTTTACCAAGGCTTTGACTGGAATGGTGTGTTTTCCTCTAAGGAATCAAATTTGACTTATGGGGCCAATAAAATCCTTGGAAAAACTGGCCATATATTCTGTGTAGACAGTCCCTGTACAGGGTTTCTGACCTGTAGTAAGTAAAGAATGTCACTTTCTGACAGGTGCAGAAGCCCCAGGTTTATCTTTGAACCTCAAGAGGTGGGAAAATTCACCCAACTCACAGATATTGGATGGCACTAATCCATGGCTGGGCTCAGCTTTAAAAAAGTCTTATCTGGGATTCCTTCTATGGAACAAAATTCCATCAAAGCCAATTTAAAGCCTATGTAAAAAATAATTATTCTTGCTGCACTGTATACAAATAATTAGGCCAAGTATAATAAAGCAAACCCATCCTACCATGATTTGTCTTTAACGAAAATAGAAAACTGGAGAAATAAAAATTGTTTCAAAAATATTGTACACCTGTTGTTAGATTCTAGTCTTGCCTAATGATTTTAAATTGTCATTATTTCTACAGTTTGGGCTGAATTCTAATTTTTTGTTGGCTACAAGTCTTCAAAATGATGTTTTAATTTTTTTTTATTTTTTTCCTTTTTTTCCCCCTTCTTTCCTAATTTGGAGTCACTGAAAACTAAGCTGTGCTTTCTTAAAATCTTGTGAACAGAACCCAGACAATTTAAACTTCAGAAGAAAATAACAGCAACCTATTTACATACATCAGCCACTTTTGTACCTGCCTACTATTATATGGATTTCAGAGTAATTTTTCCTAGATCAATTTTTCCAGGATTGTTCCTCTGTTTGTTGTTGTTTTTTCTTCCTTCCTCACCCTTATTTTCTCCTCACAGGACATGAGACTTCAAGACCTGCTAAAAATGAGCTTTTGTGACCTACCCATCTAGAAATAAACCATCATAGCCATGAGAGATCAGATGAAACCTGAGAGCAGAGACTCATTTTCTTGTAAAATGCTTTCTCCAAAAGATTTTTAAAAAAGAAAAGGGGGAAACGTTAAAGGAAAATATCTTGGGCCCCCAAAATCACCAAGGAAAACTCAAGCTGCAAACTGTGTAGGGAAAATCTGCCTCCCATTCTGTTCACACTCACCCCTTCTGCTCGCTGAGATAGGCACATATCTGATTTGCCTCCTTTGGAAAGGCTAATCAGAAATTCAAAACCTGGAAGCTCCCTCCCTGCTTTGAGTCTTCCTGCCTTTGCCTCAAGTTGTCCCACCTTTCCAGACCGAACCAATGTACTTCTTACATATATTGATTGATGTCTCATTGATTGATGTCTCACGTCTCCCTAAAATGTATAAAACTAAACTGTTCCCCAACCACCCTGGGCACATATCATCAGGACTTCCTGAGGCTGTGTCATGAGTGCATCCTCAACCTTGGCAAAATAAACTTTCTAAATTAACTGGGGCCTATCTCAAATTTTTGGAGGTTCACAGGAGCAAATTTGAATTTACGTCCACCTTGGCTTTTGGCGGTAGTCAATGGCTTCCCCTAAGATCAATTGCTCATTGATTTTCAATCTTGCCATGACCTTCCTGCGTGTGCATGGGCCAAGGGGATGGTAGTGGCTGGCACTTGATTTTCCATTAAAGAGGGCAATGATTTTCTTTTAAAAAATGAAAATATGGTTCTTGTTCAGTTATAAAATATTCATACTATAGGACACTAAGGAGCCTTATGCATCACTAGTGATCCTCAGACCAATCTCAGAAAACAACCAAAAAAATTCACTCTTTGGTGCATTGTCACAACACATTTTAAGGCTGAAGATAACTCAGTAATGAATTCGACTATGATCTATTTTGTATTGATGCAAAATCATTTGGTAAAATATCATTCTCCAACATAATGGTTCAAATAAGTATTGATGAAGTTGCAGCACGGAAAGCCTATTGTATTCAGGCAGTATTGGGATTGTCTAAAATAAACGATCTTGGGATCCATAGATGTCTCAGGTTTGCATTATTGTTTGAGGTGTAATTGAAATGGAAACATTCATAAGTGTATTTATGTCTGTCTCAGATTCAGAGAATGAGTGGGAAGGAAAGTCCTTGATATTGTTAAGTGAGTGAATAGTTTCTTGTAGTGTCTCTTATCTCTGAAAATTAAAGAGAAGTTTGTTCAACCATCATTCTGCATCATTGTATTATAAAAGATTTATCTTTCTAGATTCATCTTGTAAATATAGTTTTGAAAGTTATTTCAGTAAGATTGCAGAGAAGGCTTAATTTTTTCTATAGAGTTTCAGATAGACAAGGTAACTAAGCTCTTTTTCTACAATGAAAACAAAACATATAAGCTTTCAGTAACTCTCTGGGTATGTTGAGCAGTGACTGGATAAAGTAGCAGTCAAGAGTTCTAAGTTTTAATTTCACCTCAGCTACTATTGTCTCTAAATCTGTTTGTACATCTAAGAAGCAAGTTCTTGGATTGAGTTTGTCTAGACTTTCAAATTTGGCTCTGCTGAATCTATGCCATGTTTTCCTCAAAAGTCACTTTTAGGCAGGAGAGAAAGGAGAAAAGATTTCCTTTCATGTCTCAAGCAGTCAAAAATTTCAGGTGTCCAACACATTTCAACAAAATGATGGGTCTGATGTCCTTCATGCTCATGACTTTAGTAATCCTCTATATGCAGATAACTTCTAAATGTGTATCTCCATATCACATGCTTCTTGTGAGCATCCAATTGTCTACATCCAATTGCCTACTCCTCAATATTTCCAACCGAATGTTCCAAAACCCTATCAAACTCAACATGCCCAAGACCAAATTCTTGATCTTCCACAACCAAATGGCCTCTTGCTGTGCTTTTTATCACAGTAAGTAGCATCAGTATCCTTTCAGTTGTGCAATCCTTAAAACTAGGCATTATCCTAGACACCTTCTACTTCCTTACTTTTATTTGTCCTCACTCTCACATCCTGTGAATTTGACTCTCTAATATTCCTTGAGTGATTTCACATCTCTCCATTAATCCTGTGACAAAACTAGTCCAAGCTGATGTCATCTCTTGCTTGGATTATAAGAGTTTTCAAACTGGTCTCTCTGCTTCTTCTCTGAATCTCTGCCCCCTTTCAATCAATTCTCCGTATTTAAAGCAGATTTACCTTTTAAAGCCAACTCGGACCTTGTTACTTTCTTTATTAAAGTATTCCAGTGGATCGTGATCATGTTTGGGAAAAGACCAAACTCCTTTACGTACCTTACAAAGCCATATATATAAGAAAGTGAAGAAGCGCAGACTAATATTCCCATGAACATGTGTTTCCAATGTGAATATTCTAGGATGAAGGGATATCCCCCACTCCACCTAGCAAACCCTTAGGGGTGGAGAGCACCCCTACCCTGAAGGCCGGGGCAGAGGACCCGCAGGAACGGCAGGCCCTGGAGGGAAGGCCCCTACCTTTAGGTGCTCTATCTTCTCCTGCTGGCTCAGGAAGTCCCTGTCGGCAGCGTCGGGGGGCAAAGGAGACTGGTCAGGGGGTTGCGTGAAGCCCTGGGTGACCTTTTCAGAGAGCTTGCAGATGACCTGCTGCTTGGCGTGGTTCTTGTCCATAAGCAGCTGCACGTTCTTCTGTAGTTACTGCACCTCCTGCTCCCGCAGGTTCGCTGTGTGTGCCAGGCTCTCCCGCTCCTGCTCCAGGGCCTCCACCCGCCCGCCCAGCTCCACGATCTGCCGCACTTTGTCCTGCACCAGCTCCAGCCAGTCCTTGTCCTCAGCCACCGCCAGGTATGCGCTGGATGCCCTCTTCTCCTGCTGGGCGGCCTCCAGTGCCTTGTGCAGGATCTTCACCAGCTCCTGGGCAGGGAGAGGGAAGCATCTTGTGAGCTCAGGGAGGGCCTACTGGGCGCCAGAGCGGGGCATATGTTATCAGTAGTTCTCCTAACCACCCTCAGAGGTGCTCAGCAGCATCCCTGCAGCATCTCATCCTGACACTCACTTTCTCCTTCTCTGTTCAAGTGAGTGTTAGCTGGGCACATGGTTCCCCAGCTTCAAACTGCATCTCCCAGCCAAGCCATGGTGAGGTGTGGCCAAGTGACTATTCTGCCTAAATGGGAAATGAAAAGTGAGATGGGCAGCTTCTGGGTCCTACCTTTAAAACCAGTAGACACATGCTCCCCTGGTCCAGTTCATATATATATACTTTTTTTTTCCTGTCTCCTCTAGATTCATTTCATCTCGCATTCTCTTCTTTGTGCTCTAGCCACCTGCATCTTCCTTTCAGGCTCTTGTATAAACCATGGTATCTTCTGCCATAGGATCTTTGCATGTGTTGTCTTCATTTAAAATGCTCTTACTGCTCCATTCCCTTCTACAAATATCCTGCCTGGCTAATTGCTACTCATCCTTTAAACAATTGTTCAGGAGTTAATACTTCAAGAAAACTTTGTAAAATTCTCATTCTGGGTCACATCTTTTGTTCTTTAATACTTTTATAACCACATTCCTTTTCTTCATCACATTTAATCCGCTCATTTATGTGACTATTTTATTAATATATGAAGTCTCCAGTAGCTCTAAGCTCTGTGAGAATGAAGCTATGGCAGATTGCATTTTCCAAAGATGGTTGTAGTAATATCTCCTATTTCAACACAGTTTTCTGTGATGTTATCTTGTGACTTCCCCCATGAAAAGGTGGAGTTTGATTCCTCTCCTTTTAATTGGGATGAACCTATCATTGCTTTGGCTAATGGAATGTGTCACAGGTGACATTATGTGACTACTATGGCTAAGTCATAAAAGTCAATGCAACGTCTTCTTTTTTTTTTTTAACCAGAACACTTGCATTTTGAGCCCTAAAGCACCGTGTAAGAAGTTCAAGTACTCCGAGGCTCCTGTACTATGAAGAAACCAAGCCACATGGAGGTGCTCCAGTTGGCAGTCTTAGTCTTCATAGCATCCCAGGAAGGTGCCAGACATGTGGGTTAAAAAGCCTTTGATAATTTCAATCACCAGCCATCACTTAACTAATATCTCTTCAAGGTTATTATAATTATTGTTGTATCTCTACTTACTAATCAATTTCTTTCTCTGTCTATTCATTTTTTTTTTTATCATCATCGAGGATTTGGTGGTTTTTAAATGATGGTGACAAGGTGACAAGATCACTATCCTCATGTGTTAACTTAGAATGTTGAGAATTTGACTTCAAGAGTTGACTATATCAACAAAATTAAGTTGTAGAAACTGGGAAATCATTACTGTCAATCTACTCAAGGCAAAGTCCAGTGAAGATGCAGAAGACAGCATCAGAGAAAAAGTAGAAAAGTATTGTGCCATATGGACAGATAATCTTTTAAGCTGCTAGAAGGTGACACATTTGAGAAATTACTAGTAACCCTCCTTACTTATTTTTATATTTTTTAAAAAGTAAAATCTGTCAGTTCTGTCTTTTCTGATTAAATGGTAATATTGTGTGAGAAGGAAGTGAAGCCATGAAGTCAAAGGCAACTCAGAGGCCAAAAAGTGGCAAACCAAGAGTGGTTCATCCAAAATAAGTCCAGTTTACAGAAAGAAAAGAGAAAACAATGAGCTATATCAGCCCTCTGAGAAGTTCTTCGGAGGAAACAAGCCTAACACTAAACAAAGATCTTGGTGAAAATAATCAGCTGACTAGGTAGCACCAACCTGCAAGAAAGATACAAAAAATGTCTTTGTGTTTCTGAGTGTCATGCAATAACATTTTGGAGCTAAAATGCAGAACCTATTTATGAATGGCCTTTACCTACAAAATTAAAGGCAGTTATAGAAACTAATGTCCAGTTTCTGCTTTTTACTGCAGGTCTTTTTTTTCCATATTGTACCTCCCTTTCTTAGCCGAAACATGAGAGTGGTCTTGTAATTCAGCAGCCACACTCAGCATTTATGACATAATTGTGTTTGTATGTGAGTTTCATACACACACACACACATACATACACACACACACACAAACACACCCCACACATATTTCCGCTGTCTTCATTTTGGCAAAATAATCTCAAATACATAAATTCACAAATGCACAGATACCACTAGGAAAACTCACAGTAGGATTTGCAAAATATATAAAGGATATAAGCATCAGCTTTATTTTCAAAGTTTGGTGTGTGTGTGTGTGTCTGTGTCTGTGTGTGTGTGTGTGTGTGTGTGTGTGTGTTTGTGTAGGTTGCAATGCCAGTTATTGCCTCTCAATCTGAATGCTGTGAGACATCTCCTTTAGGAACTATATTCATGTGGTCCTGAAAGATAAAATAGTTACAAAATGTTCCCCAAATAATATGACACATCGATCCAGTGGCTGTAATTGTTTGAAATGTAAGAGTTAAATATTTAGACATCCCCAAAGTAGGCTTTCTTGAGCATCTGTGAAAATAATATCCTTTATATCAGGAATGGGGCGTTTCTACTCATCATCGGGCCTCAGAAACCATCAATTCTGAGTCATGATAAATGACTTCACTTTTACTGCAAAATGACTCATAAACAACTTAGAGCTCAAGAGATTGTTTTGCAAGCTATTTTAAGTTTATTTGGCTATCTTCCTTATTTAAAGATCAATATCCATGTGGACCTTTAGATAAATTCTCTTTTAGAACAGGTAATATCAACAAGCAGCCCATGAAATTGGAATGCTTGTAAGGTATTTTGAAATTACTCAGCAGATTTTCTTGTTACTGTGGCCTTGATTTTTTAAATTGTAACTGCCTCTAGATTTGTTATTTCTCTCTTTGACAATCAGACATTCACAGGTATGCTGGGCTAGAGGAATCAATCATAGAAAAAGTCCCACAAGACCATTTTTAGATTACTCCCTAATTTAGTTTAATGGAGGCTGAGAGTATAGTATATAATTTTATTTTATGTGCTGTAATATTAAATATTTATGTGTGTGCAGGACTCTCCCATGCCTGGTATGAGAACAGTAGTTGGAGTTCCCTATTAATCTACTGTCTTCAATGTTAAGAAAGGAAAAATAAAGAAAAACCTGTCTCTGGTTTGCCAAAAGGTGAAGAAACATTTGAAGTCTAAACTCTCATTATCAGATTTACAAATATGAAAAAGACTAAGGAAGTGTTGCAGAGGGTGAGGGGAAATGGACAACTGTCCTTCTAGAGGCCAGTTTAATACAGTAAACCGATTTTTAAAATTTTGTCTTGGGAAATAATCACATAGATATAGTAGGCTCAAGAATATTTATCAAAATATTAAACAATGGAAGAGTAATAGAAACAAACTCAATATTCATCAATAGGGCACCAGTCAAGTAAAATATGATGGTTTATGCCTTAGTTTGGATTTTCCATATCTGTGCTGTCTAAAACAGTAGCCATTTTACTGACCATAACTACATAACTACTGAAGACTTGAAATACGGCTACACACCTAATTTCACCCCATATCACCATGCACAACCAATTTCAGAGATGTACTATAAAAAGAATAGAGACTATCTTATTAATATTTTTTATTTTAATTCCATGTTGAAATAATTTTTATATATTAAGTTAAATAAAATATATTGTTAAAATTAATTTCATCTGTTTCTTTTTACTTTTTGATGTGATTACCAGAAAATTTTCAATTGCATATGTGACTTGTGTTTGTGGCTTGCATTGTATTTCTAGAAATAGCACCACTCCAGAAGTAAACCTTGAGACAAGGATTTTTATGCAAGCAATTTATTAAATAAGTGCTTCTGGAAGAATCTGGCAAAAGATTGGGAAAAGCAGGAAAGGGAATCAGAAGAAGCCAAGTAAGTGTATGGTTCAGATAAGTTTCAATCTCAGCCTGCTCTTGCAGGGAGCTCTGGAGCATGAATTACACCTCAGAGTTTATCCCGCCTTGAGGCAAACTGAGCTGGCCTATCCTACCCCTACATCAATCAGTCCTTGAAACTCAAGGGTCACCCTGAGGACAGGTAAACACTCAGGAATTTCTGGCTCTCCATTGCCTTGGTGAAGCAGTTCCTATAGACCAAGGACACACGCTAAAGAAGGTCACAGGTGCAAGCCATTGGAAGCAGAGCACATGGGAGCTGGGGGGTAGGTGATTACAACAAGATATAAAGATCTGAGGGGACGAAAGCAGCCCACTGACAGCGTCAGCTGTACTTTACGCAATGGAACACTATGCAGTGATTTTTTAGATTTAGATTTATGGACATAGAACATGTCCATAACATAGAGTGACATATAAAAGCATATTAACAAGATCATATATGAGCATCATATATGATCCTGCTTATATAAAATTACATACTTATTTCTATCTTCATAGAAATATGTTTGGAAGGCTTATGCACCGAAACATTAAGAGAGTATAAATCTGCATTGTGAGATTTTACTGATTGTAATTTTATTCTTTGTTCTTTTAGTTGATTTTTGACAATATATACATTTCATGTATTAGAAAACTAATAAAGCTATTGAATGGACTAATAAAGTGAAGGTAATAAGTAAAACCCAAGATCTGAGATATGAGAACTTGTGAAATTTTACTAAATTCATGAATTAGTCATCCATGACATTTTTAGGATACCTGGAATGCACCCGGTGATGTGATCATGGATGATATTCATCTGGTGTATACTCATATGGTCAAATGGCCAGCATCTGTTCTGCCTGGAAAATGTTTGTGCTATGCTGGTCAGTAACTTGATGAAAAGAACTATTAAGACATAAATGTGTACGGTCAAATTGGTCGTAGGTTAATTAAAGGATAAAACAGGATGCCTGAACCAGAGGACCCGAGGTTCAATACACTCTAAATAAGCAAAACATCCTGAGGGATTGCAGAACTAAATATGAATGTTTTAA